AATGTACTGGAAGCAGACACTTTTACAATAAAATTGATAGAGTGAGCTGTAATACTCTCTTAGAAATGCTCACTCTATGAGCCATTTACTTTGGCAGAGTCTTTACACGTATTTTATGTTCTTCAGGGCCAATTGGAGACAAAATAGTGATGTGGGTAAAATTAGTCTTTTGCAATTTTTCTTTCACCTTCTTCCCCTTTCCCCACATTAAAAAAAAATGATTTATATCTATTATTTTCAATTAGGAGCAAATGAGGCTAAAATGTAGCCTTCCCAAGGACAGGAATTGTATCTTTTCTTCTTCATTTTCTACTTTCCAGGGCTTAACATAGTGCTGGAGAAGAATCACCATAAAAGGGGTTTTGCATTTTTAATAAGAAACTCCATGATCCTGAACAATGTTTGAACAAATCATGAGTACTTAGATACAGCACTTGGTCATCTACAGTGGGGAGAATGCAGGTTATATTGGCCTCTTTTTTCCTCCTTCAAGAAGGGTGGGTGTATCATGATTCCTTCCACCCATCTCCCTCCATTACACCACTTAGAATCCCAGTGAGCAGTTTCATGTGACAAGCAGAATATACTTGAGAAATTAATTTGAAAAATATCACTTGTAATTGATGAGTCTTAATGAGCAGTTACAATTTAATACATCTTAATTTAATCAACGATCTCCCCAGCACCCACTACATAGTAGCTATTGTGCTAGGTTTGGTATCCAGTGGTCAACTTGGCAAACAGAACTGGGAAGAGATGGTCAGTAAACATGATGATAAATCTACTAATATGACCGTTCTTGAGAGTGAAAGACACAACTACCACAAAAGGGAGTGATGATGCAACATGACTGTTGGAAACGGTGGGGGAGGTGGGGCGGGGAGAGTGTTAGGGGATCAGGCATGCCATACAGAGGAGGTGCTGTTTGATTTAAAACCTGAATAGTTAAAGGAGCCAGGCAGGGAACCACAAGGGAATAATTTTGAGAATTCATTCTAGAATGAAAAGTAAGCCTAAATGCCAGGAGTTAGGAACAAGCACAATATTATTAAGGTGAAGAAGAAAGGTTATCTCAGATGGAGATGAGTAAATGAGTGAGGTCATGGGAACAGAACTGGCAAGAGAGTGGTCCAGCCAGGTAAGTCTCATTGTCATGGTGATGGAGGGTGATGCCTGAGGACTGATGAGCTAGGCAGTTACCAGATGCAGGTGGAACAACCCTGATAGAATTGCCCAGGAACCCATACTGCTTCGTGGGAAGCCTCCTTGCTCTTCATGCATCTCAGAAATCAGACATTTTCTGTTCATCAAGGAAACTGAAGCTGTGGATTAGACCTAGACAGTCCATATGTATGCATAGTGAGAAGTATCTTTTAAAAAATCAGAACCTTATCTTACATGAAGGTTCAAAATATGGTAGACCACAAGTTTTGAGGCTGTTACTTGACTGATAAAAATTCTGATACTAGTGAAAACAATACCTACTGCAAAGTAAAATATTCTAGAAGGAATAGGAATTTTGGAGTTTGTTTAGCATTTATTAAGAGTTCCACGGAATTCACAGTTTAAAAGAAAGTATACTTAAGCCAAAATTAGCCTCCTTGAAATCCATGCTTGCAGTGAAAATGTAGAGATGTGAAAAAAAAGCAAGACCTTAGTTTTGTGGTATTCAATAAGTGTCTGGTCAGTGAAAGACAGTTAATATTACCTCTAAGCATAAGTAAATCAATTCAAACCTCATGATATACATTACTCATTTTTTAAGTTGTATGTTTACTTAGTCTTGGCTGCACCGGGTCTTCGTCGCCGCGCCTGGGCTTTCTCTGGCTGGCCCAGCGGGGGCTGCTCCCCAGCTCAGCGCGCGGGCCTCTCGTGGTGGCTGCCTCCCTTGTTGCACAGCGCGGGCTCCAGGCACGGGGCTCAGTAGTCGTGGTGCTCGGGGCTTAGCTGTCCTGTGGCACGTGGAAGCTTCCCAGAACAGGGACCGAACCTGTATCTCCTGCATTGGCAGGCAGATTCTTAACTACTGGACCACCAGGGAAGTCCCTCATTAATTAAGTGTAGATGAATAAGACATTATTTTAAAATTGTCTTCACTAAAACAAACTGGAAAATTCAGTTTTGTTTTGTTTTTTTAATTAACAGTAGAACTGGGCTTTTCCTTATGGGAAAATTGGTTCTTTTCTATCCCCCAATTTTGTTGTTTCTGTCTTGCTTAAAGATAAAAACAAAAGAAAAATTCCCAAATATTCTTCACTCAACAAAGCATCTAATATTGTAGCCATGGGTCATAACTATGTTACTAAACTCAGGTCTGGTTGCTCGTTGCTTAAAAATCAATACCTGAAATAGAGGCCAATGTTGGTAGAAAGTAAAGTTGCTTTTTGGAAATCTGGGGTGATGGTGGACTCAGTGTCCCCCGAAATCCATCTCTGAAGATTCTGCTTGGCCATGAAAGTTTTTAATGGGAAAAAGGGAAATACTCTCAGTTGATCATTGAGACAGGAGGGTCAGAGTCATTGCCGTTCCCCACCATGTGCAGGCTTGTCGACTCCTTGTGATCTTCCTCCAGATGCTATATTGTTCATACAGTTTGATAACATGGTTTGTTCACTGAGGTTACTGAAGGGGAGGCTAGTGAAGAGATCTGGGCATCTGTTAATTACTTATCTTCATTTCTACTTCTTTGATCAATGGAAAAACCGACAAGTTACGCAAAGTATTATGATCAAAAGATATGAAAGATGTGCTTGGGCTGGAGGTAAGTAGAACTTGGGGATGCTGGGTTTAAGGTTGTTTATTTGCTAAGTCAAGTCTGACTCTTTTGTGACCCCCTGTGCTATAGCCTGACAGGCTTCTCTGTCCATGGGATTTCCCAGGCAAAAATACTGGAGTAGGTAGTCATTTCCTTCTCCAGGAGATCTTCCCAACCCTGGGATCCAACCCACATCTCTTAAGTCCCCTACTTTGGCAGGCGAATTCTTAACCACTTAGTCACCAAGGAAGCCCGAAAGTGCCAAGGCAAAATGAATCTCCTGCAGAGAGCTCTTTCCTGCCCAAAACTGCTTACAACTGGATGAAGTTAAAAGTTCAGTTCTTCAGTCACATCAGGCACATTTCAGTTCCCCCCTGAACCACATATGGCTGGGGGCTGCTGTGTTGGACACAGGGGAGAGAGCACTTTTCTACCACCACAGAAAGTTCTATTGGATAGCACTTTTCTGGACATTTCTACATGTGCATTTATTTCTGAGGTCCTCTCTTGTCTTATGTTGATGATTAACAATTATGAACACGTAACTTCAAAATAAACAGTTGCAGAAACTTGAGTTCTTTGTGTGAGTCATCCAGATGTAGACAAAAAATTCTTTCCTAAACAAACTTGATTTTCTACTTGTAGAACTTATTTTCTCTACTAATTCACATCGATGCTTTATATTGTCTAGTAGTTACATGACTGAAACCTTTTATTTTTAAAGAGTAGTACTTCTTGTGCCCCAACCTCTATCACAGTGTGATATTATTCTCTTTCTGAAGACAGACCTGAATGAAGTCATTTATCTTTTGAAGTGTCAGGGCTGGGAATGGGTTTCAAGGTAAGACTAGTAAAAAGCAAAGCTTAGTCTATGAATGAACACCTTATGTTTGGGGGAAATAATTAAACACAGAGGATTTTTTTAACAATTGAATAGCAGAAAGAAACCTATGGTGTGAGAATGAACTCAGTTGTCTGTGATCAGATAAAAGGAGCTATGCACAAACAATGGAGGTGCAGAAAGACCTGCTGCTGCCTTGTTCTGGGATATGTCTCAGAGTCACTGTCAGCTTTGATTGCACTGCTTTGCATAAATATTAGAGGAAAGATCTCTACTAGTGAAGTTGGGGATATACGCACAAGATAGGCCCCTGTTTTGCTTTCAGGAAGTGAATGTAATTAAGCTTGAAAAGGAGGAGAAAGGGAAGGCACTTAGGTAAGGAATGGAAGAAGTGACAGGTAGAACAAGGACACTTATGCCCCAGGTCCTGGTCAGGGTTATGCACATTTGTTACATGTATGTGTGTGTGTCTGTTTAGTCAGTCAGTCGTGCCTGACTCTTTGTGACCCCATGGCCTGTAGCTCATCAGGATCCTCTGTCCACAGGATTCTCCAGGCAAGTGGAGTGGATCACCATTTCCTTCTCCAGGGGAATCTTCCCAACCCAGGGATCAAAGCCATGTCTCTTGCGAGTCCTGCATTGGCAGGAGAGTTCTTTACCACTAGTACCACATGGGAAGACCCTTTATCACATATAATCTTCTCAAATGCTCTAAGGCAGCAATCCCCAAGTCTTCTGGCACCAGGGACCGGTTTCTTGGAAGACAATTTTTCCATGTACCCAAGGTGGAGGTATGATCTCAGGATGCTCCAAGTAGTTTACATTTATCATGCATTTTTCTACTATTATTACATTGTGATACATAAATGAAATAATTATGCAGCTCACCATAATGCAGAATCAAATCATCAGGCATTAGATTCTCACAAGGCGCATGCAAACCTAGACCCATCATGTGCGTGGTTCACAGTAAATTTTGTGCTCTTATGAGAATCTAGGAAAAGCTCAGATCATGATGCCAGTGCTGGAGAGTGGCTGCAAACACAGATGAAGCTTTGCCTGCTCACCTGCTGCTCACCTCTGCTGTGTGGAGGTATCTGTACCAATACTGACGCCTGTCTGTGGCGAGGGGTTGGGAATCCCTGCTCTAAGGGACCAATAAAATTAACCTGATCAGTAGATGTGGAAAACAGGGACTCAGCCAAGTCCTCTCATATTATGCCTGGCTATTGAATGGAATGGAGAAGACAGAATTGCACCCAGAAGGCATCAGCCTATGCCTTGCTTGCTATCCTGAAATCTGAGTTTTGTTCTGCACATAATGCCCTATACTTTCTGGATTTCATGGAGCCATCAGAGTTTTCACCCCTCAGCACCTTCCTGTCTCCCTCCTTTCTTCCTCAGGTGGAAGGCAGAAATATGGTGACGGCTGGTTGCGCTCAGCAGGGCGGATGCGGATAGCAGTGGACCTATGAGGACGACCCACGTGACAGGTGAGGATTTGAGACACCCGACACTCATACTCTGTACGTGTCAGATGGGGGCCTGGTGTCTGCTTAAGCTCTGTCCACACACATTCTAGTGAGAGTGAACGTGAGCTGAGAGGCTGAGGAAAATTTCTGTTTGCAAAGCAAAATATTATTTTAGTGAAAATTACAGGACCATTTCAGTCATAAGTCCCAAATATTATGTTAGCTGAAATCCTCCTTGCCCAAACTAATTCCATTTAATTTCTATATGCTTAAGAAACAAATGCACATTTGTTTAGACTGAGGTTCATGGACATTCAAGTGTTTAAACATATTCAAAGCCAAATGGCATAAACGTTTTATTTTCTTCACAGATCTCAGAAGTTTTCTACCTATTGAGAAATGTTAATTTTTACTATTTATGGAAAAATTATCATGTCTAGCTCAATTAATTATAGTTTGTGATAGATGTATTTTTTAAAAAAACATGATTTCCACCAAGAAGAACATTTATTTGTATAAACTTTATTTGTTTAGCAGAGAGTAATTTTCTCACATGAGCACAGTCTTTNACTTTGGCCACCTGATGCGAAGACCTAACTCATTTGAAAAGACCCTAATGCTGAGAAAGATTGGGGGCAGGAGGAGAAGGGGACAACAGAGGATGAGATGGTTGGATGGCATCACTGACTGAATGGACATCAGTTTGGGTGTTGGTGATGGACAGGGGAGGCCTGGCAAGCTACAGTTCATGGGATCGCAAAGAATCGGACACGACTGAGCAACTGAACTGAACTGAATATGTACGTTAACCATCTAGGGCCAGTATCCTGTTTTTTACCATCCTGAGTCCCCTTGGGGCGCACAGTGGAGTGGCATATATATGTGTATATATACATATATATATATATAGATAAGAATTAATCATAAATACTCTATAATTTACTAAAAATACTCTTCCAAACCATTTTTAGGTTAATATATACAATTATATATACATCCCCCTTGTTATCATATAACCATGACTTTATATCTTTTAAAAATATGTGGGATCAAGAATGATACTAAAATTTTCAATTATGTGAAAAGAACTGTTGCTTTTGTCAAAAAAAAAAAAAAAAGACTGGCAGCCTGGAACCTCCCTGTGGCCTTGCCTACAGCATCTGCCTGCTTGTTGTCTTAACACTTGTACTGACTTATTTTTCAAATATTTATTTATTTCACCTTTATTCATTTGGATAAAAAGAATATTACACTGCTTATGTTTTAGACAGAATTTTAAGATGAGGTTAAAGATATGTAAGAAATTGGCCTTGGGGTCCCTCTACCCATAAGCCAGACCACGCACATCTTACCACACCTCTGTCTTTCAGGTGTTCAAACAGTTGTGATGCTGGGTGCCTGCTACTTCCCTTCTTGTTGATTCAAATATGTGCAACAGCTCTACTGCTCTCCTATCACTCAATCCCTTTGATTAAAGTCTTCCTTACATGCAGAAACATCTCTTGAATTGTTTGCATGAGGCCACACCTCTTGACAAGGAGGCTGTGCTCTCTGAGTGTGGACCAAGCTCATATCACGTTTATGTATGAATGCAAGACTTTTAGCTGTGGTTCACTCAGAGCTTGATGACAGGAGGGTGTCGGGGTCTGGGCAGGCCAGGGAATGCTATGGACCCTCACTCCCCTCAAGGGAGCCCTATGTGGGTGAGAACAGTTCTTAAGGCTTTCCACCAGCCTCCATCTCAGCAGCTCCTTCCTAGGCATTGATCTCAGACCTCCTGGTTTCTCTCCTACACCTCCCCACAGTCTTCTTTCCAGCCCTGGCTTCTCAGAGTGACCATTTCAGCCTCCATTTCCTTCTACCTCCTACACCACATTCCCCTCGGTGGGTGGAAATAAGGGTAAGACAGAAGCAGAGGTCCTGACCCCACTTGATGAGGTGAGGGCAGGGGTGTTAGTACCAGACTGGAGGGCAGTCACCACTCTTCCGGGGTGGGGCACCCCCTGCCCCACCGCTGTGCGCACGCCCATGTTCACAGCAGGCCCCTTCCCATGTCCTCCCAGTCGTCCTGGGAAGCAGGCAAGTGACCGTGGTAACTTCAAGTGTATGGAGGGACAGCAGAATCCTGGAGAAAGCACTTTTCTTTTGTGGATGAAGAATGTTTCCTGCCATCATGGTAAAAAAAAAAAAGAACGTGGTGGCCATCAGCCACCGCAGCCACCCCACAATCACCCCATGGGGAGTGAGGGTGCAGAAAAGCAGGGTACTGGCTCTAGCTATTTAAGGTACATATTAAGGGGATGATCACTCTCAGTATTCTTTGTTCTACTTCTTCCGTTGAGAATTCAGCCCCCATGGAGCGGATGATACGAATACGGGAGGAGATGCTTGTGTTTTTCTTCTTGGTGAGTCCACGGCGGCAGCCTTCCCTTGAGCGAGGCCCCACTGCCGTCTGCGTTCTCCAAACTCCTCACACACTATCAACGGCAAGGAGTTCTCAGTCTGGGGCTCAGCTCCAGGCTGCCCTGATGGCCCGGTAGTGAAGAATCCACCTGTAATGCAGGAGACAAGGAAATGTGGGTTTGATCCCTGGGCTGGGAAGATGCCATGGAGAAGGAAATGGCAACCCACTCCAGTTGCCTGGGAAACCCACATCTTGCCTGGAAAATCCTGTGGACAGAGGAGCCGGGCTGGCCACAGTCCGGGGCTGCAGAGTCAGACACAGCTGAGCACACGTGTAGGTCACCTTTGTGTCTTTTTCTCTACAGTTCATATCCACTTTTCTTTACTTCTTGAGCATGTTTTTACAAGAAAATAATTCAAATGTCTGGCCTTACATGATTCATTATTTTTCTCATATTTAAGAATAGTGATATGATAAATTTTGGTTTATTTCCAATTTTTAGTGGAACTTTATACAGTATTACATGAAAGTCTTTGAAGGATAAATTGGGAAATAAAGAGAGTAAATGTGAACAATAATCTTATGAAGTTCCTTCAGTTTTGTGGATAAGAGTCTAACTGTTTGCATAAGTTCACCTATAACGAAATTAATACAGGCTGCTTTGGGAGCTAGAGAGGGAATGATGAAGATAATTTGACTCTGCAGGATATGACCTGTGCAAAGAAGAGAATAACAGTATACATATTTAGAAAGTTTCATATTTTCTTCTTTTTAAAAACAACAATATGAATTGAAAATGCAACTTTTATAATTATATGCTTATGAAATGGTTATATTTGACTGAATTTGTTAATCTATATTTTAGTCCCAAGATTAGGAAACTTTGAGGACAACTGCAATGTCTCTCATAAAGTTGAATTTTCCTATTCACATTGCAGTTGGCACCTGTATTTCACATTTAATCTGGTTTTGGTCAGTTAGAATGGGTCAAACTGTTGTAAACATGAGGTGACTGCTCCTGATTGTAAACAGCTCTCCTGCTAGGACCAGCCGCATAATGCACAGGGCCCAGCACAAAACACAAACACAGCACCTTGTTCAAAAAGCAGGAGAAAGTAGCCACTAAAGGTCAAGCTCCCCCAGTGGGGCCGCAGCAGAGTGTGACTCAGATGCTGAGGCAGGCTCTTCGCGCCTTGTGCCTGCCACAGTGGGACGAAGCTCCTGCCGGGCATCGTTCTGCCCACCTCTGCGACCTCTATTTGGGGCACTTAAAAAAAGGTAAAGGCTTTCGTTCCTTCTGTAGGTTCTCTCTTGCCTTCTCATGGTGTTTACTGTTTGCTATGCAATAATTGTTCTAAACACTGTACATATTTAAAGTATACAACTTTGATGAGTTTGAAAATAAGTATACAGCTGTGAAACCATCACCACATTCTATGCCATGAACATATCCATTCTGTCTACAAGCTTCGTCCTGCTCCCTTTATTTTTATTGCTATTTTGGTGACAAGAACACTTAACATGAGAGCTAACCATTTAGCAAATTTTAAATATACAGTATGATATTGTTAATTATGGGCACTGTGTTATAAACAGACCTCTCTGCTTACTCGTATAAATGAAACTTCACACCCTTTGACTAACACTCCCCCATTTCACTCTCTTCTCAGCTCCTGGCAACTACTATCCTAGTCTCTGCTTGTGAGAGTTAGACTATTTTAGTTACCATGTAAGTGGCAACTAACATGCTGTATGTATCCTGTGCCTGAATTGTTTCACTTAGCATCCTGTCTTCCACTTTCCTTCGTGTTGTCACAAATGGCAGAAGTTCCTTCCTAATGCAGCTGAACAGTATTCCATCACATAAAATGGAATATTGCTTCATAGCACACGTGAATATGTGCTGTGCCGTGCTTAGTCGCTCAGTCGTGTCTGACTCTTTGCAACCCCATGGACTATTGCCCGCCAGGCTCCTCTGTCCATGGAGATTCTCCTGGCAAGAATACAGGAGTGGGTTGCCATGCTCTCCTTCAGCAGGTCTTCCCAACCGAGGGATCAAACCCAGGTCTTGCACATTGCAGGCAGATTCTTTATCTACTGAGTCAACAGGGGAGTAACATTTTCTTTATCCATTCGTTTGTTAATAGGTACTTCGATTGTTCCATACCTTGGCTCTTGTGAATAATGCTGCAAGTAATGTGAGAGTGCAAATATCTCTTTAAGATTCTGATCTCAATTCCTTTAAATACACACCCCAAAGTGGGAATGCTGGATAATATAGTAGTTTTATTTTTAATAGAAATTTCTCTAAATAAAATATGCAGATTGCCAATAGGTACTTGAAAAGATGCTCAGCATCACTAATTATCAGAAAAATGTAAATCAAAGTCACAATGAGATATTACCTCACATCTGTTAGAATGACTATTATTTAAAAAAAAAAAAGATAAATAGTATTGGAGAAGATGTGGAGAAAAGGAACATTTGTGCCCTGTTGGTGGGAATATAAATTGATGCAGCCACTATGGAAAACAGTAAAGAAGTTCCTCTAAAATTCAAAATTTTAGTATTAATTTTATTGTCTATCTTAATGTTGTGTAACACCACTATTAAAAGCAAATATAAAAGCATTTAATATTTATGCTAAATCCCCGAAGT